CTTCAACTGCCTATCACATTATTTAGTTCAGCCTTTCTCAACTTGCTTCCATTGTGAAAGCTACCTGGTGGTCAAGTGCGTGCTTGACATGGACAAGGCCCAGATTCAGCCCCTGTCTCCTCCAGGTAACACTAGGAAAGACTCAGATCTGAAGCCCTAAAGGGTTGTTGGTCAGTGAGGAACCCAGGTCTCTAACATGGCACTCACGGGCCTCCATCTGTTCATTGTCTATGCCCCACCTGATTTCATTTTATACATTGTTTTAAAATGAGAAAGTAGCATGTTGTTGAGGAAAGCACCACATTCAAGTATAATCTTCATTTCTGAGAATGCTTCTGGGCCCTGCAGAAGCAGCCTTCGGCATTCTTAGATATTTGTACCCCATTAATTTGGGAATGTGTCCAGTTAACCAGAAAAAAAGGACGGAGATAAGGCAAGCTGTTAGGGAACGTGATGGAAGGCTAGAGAAGGTTGTGAGAAGCAACCTCACCATTTTCTGTTCTGGTAAGAGACACTATAATATTAGCTCTCGGTTCCAAAAGTGCCTGCTGTCCCCCCAGCGGATCCCAGATATAGACAAAACTAAGCAGGATGGGCCACCACCAGTTTCCTTCTTCTACAGCAACTACCTGTCCCTATGTTTATTTCTACCCGAGAATGGCCTCGATAGCTATTTTGCTTTTTTAAATACAGATCTTCTTCCAGCAAGCTATCTTGGGTCTGATTTCTAAGACAGATTCATCTGTTGTTTTTGTTCTTCAGTGGGAACTGTTTAGCCTTAATGGCTCTCCATTAGTCGTTTGCAATATTGATTGGGATTCTTTGGCTCACATTCATTTAAAAATCACCAGGAGTTGGTGTTGTTTGGCATCGCCCTCAGTTTGTGCTAATTTTTCCCTTGTGTTGTACTTCTTTCGTTTCCTCCCCCTTCTGGAGCAGCACTAATCAATAGTCACACAATATGTTCGCAGAAGCTGTGCTTCGGGATCTGTATGAATGTTTCATGCTGAAGGGTTGTTTTTTTTTTTTTAAAGTAGATGGCAGATTGTATCAACAGTTTTCCCCCCACTTTTCTTTTCTTCCTCTCCCTTTTCAGGGAGCCAAACAAGGATGCCATAGCTGAAAATCTGTGTATTTAAACTCCAGTTGCGGCTTCTTTGTGCTCTTCCAGGAGAAGGAGATTTTAAGCAAAGAAGTGGCAGGTGGGTCTTTCTGTGCTCTGAATCTTTCTCATACCTGTGGTTTCCCCCCTGTAGCTCCATCCTTTCAGCCGTCCTGCCTCTTAACTAGAATTCAAGATGTACATTTGCAGGGCAAACCTGTCTGGCCCACCGTAAGTGGGTGAGCCAAGGGAAAAGGCAAGGAAAAAGTTGAGACCACTCTCTCCCACTTCATCTCTGCCAAAAAAGTCGTCCCTTCCTCCTTGTCCAGGCTGGAACTGGAAGGATAAAGCTAAGGGACCCTCTGCCCCTTTCTAGCTCTTCCAATCCCATTAATCACTATATTACCATAGTTGTAACTTGGGGGGGGGGAGATGCTTTTTTTTTAAAAAAAATAAGCAACTATTTTACTGAAAGGAAAAAAAAAACCTTTCCTCAAGAAATCATAAAATGGAGGTGAAATACAAAACATCATCCCGTTCATTTATATAATCAACTTACTGCTGTCTCTTGCATACCTTGGTGACTAAAAAAATAGTTTAAAAATTCATGAAATCTTGTGTGACTATGCTCGAGAACGACCAAGGAACGGGGGTTAAAATAAATCCCATTGGCTCTGAAACTGGTTAATTGTGGGACTTAGTGGGAAAGAGGGGTTGGAGTCTTCCCCACTGTTAGTGCTGTATGTCCTGATAGGAGTTCTGCCCACACTGAACTATCATTGCTAGGGTCTTATGAAATAACTTCCTTCTCCCTCCTTCTCTCTCTCTCTCACACACAGACACACAGACACACAG